ACAACTTTAAAATGATAGAAAATATATGATCTACAGTATTTAGGAACGGGAAGRACTAGTTTTTCAAGCCAGGAACGAAAAACGATTTGGTTTCTTTTTAACAAAACGAACGTGTATGTGAATTATTTTTTATTTTTTTAAATAAACTTTACAAGTATTGTATTTTATGTTCTCAAAACATTATATAGCTGGCTAATAGATTCCCAGATCCCTCTTATATAAATTTATTACACCTATGAACATACACAAATACACACCACCTACCACTAAGCAACAGTCGAACGCAGAATCTTGCAAATTTTTATATCACATTAATTGTAAATAAATTGACAACAAAAATTATTATGAAATTAAGAATTTCTTCATATTTGGAAGAAAGATTGATAAAACTGATATATAATATAAAAAACTAATTGGTTAGTAAAGTTGACTAATCGTAGTATGTAGATATATTGTATGTACAGAGTAAAAGAAAGATTTTTTATTGTAAACTGTTGAGTTTTTTTCTACGGGCGTATATCGATTCCACCGATTTTATATATCAACTCCGCCGGCTACTGTTTATAATATCTACACATCGAATCCGCCGGACACTTTTCATCCCTCCCCTTCCCCATTGTATATGTATTTTAAAACGTATAGTCTAATTAGAAAGTTTCTAAGTTCACTTATTTAAAATACGTGTCCAAATATAAATAAAGTMGTTACTTACATAYATTTTAATTTTATAACTAGGTACATACAGTTGTTACTAGGTATCAGTTTATTCAATTTAGACATGTGACCAATTTGATCAAAAGTAGTAACATTTATATATTTTTATTTTGAACTATATAATTATTATAATTTTATAAAATTTATAGATTATACATTTTATAATATATTACCATATTAATTAGATTATGCATTTTCATTTTGAATTATATAATTATTATWGTTTTATTMAATTTAGACATGTGATCAAATTTTATGAAAATATTATAAAATTTGATCAAAATTAGTTACATTTATACATTTTAAAAAAGACATACAATTGGTGGTGGGGGGGGGGATTAACAGTGTCCGGCGGAATCAATTTGTAGATATTACAAACAGTAGACGGCGGAATTAATAGTCGGCGCCAATCAATATAAACCTTTTTCCTAAGCAGGTAAT